ATCTATTAACTCAAAATATGATTACAGCTTTTAAATTTTGTGCGCGAGCCATTTTTAGTTTGTTGGAAAAGACACACCCCCTGGTTCACAAAATTTGAGTTCGAGAAATTTTTCTCATTATTCTACATTATAAGTACCCAAAGAGGCTATATATATAAAAAACCGGATACAAATAGCTGTTTTGCCAAATTGAGAGCAATTTTAAATCTGTTCAGTTTTTTTTTTTGATACACCCTGTAGAAATGCTAATCGTAAGCTATTGTGAATTTTCGTGGTTCTATTACTCTAGTGTTATTGTCTTTTATTGCCATGCATGATGGGACCAATCACATAGCCTGTTTATATAGGTAGGGTGTCCAGTGAACTATATAAATACTGGAATGATAATTTCAGATAAACGCCGACCCTATGATTGGGTGAAGCCAAGATGATGGCCTATAGAGTGATATCTGTTAGGTATAAAACACGCGTGTTCTTCGCGTGGGCTTCACGCGAGACAGAAATGATCGATTTTTCGATCGATGTTCTTCAATTTTTTCACGTAAATGCTCGTTTCAGGGCCGTAGCTAGAACGATATGAATATACACCCCTCCCCCCCGCCCAATTACCGTTCTAGCTACGGCCCTGCTCGTTTTTACTGGTAAATATACCCTAATTAAAAGCCGGCAAAAACTAAATGAAAAGGCAAGATTGATGCAACTGCAGTCCATGTTATTTTGTGTTTAGTTCAAATCCCTCCGCATAGATAGTCCAGAAAAACAAATTAAAGTTAACTGCTGGTGTTTCTACACGGGGGTTTGTGGACTTGTTTTTCACTCGTGAAATAACTTTGCTTTTTATGATGAACTGTTTCTAAAATTAGCTTATTCTGAAAGATCACTTGCTCTATTTTTAGGGCCACGTATGGTAAAGCCAAACAGTAAAAAATAGTTGGCCAAAAATTATGAAATTTCTACATGAAATGATGCCAATTGTTCGTACTGAATTCAGTGAATTTCCGCGTAGGGAGCTGGGGCATACCTACGAGACGGGCTTCAATTTCTACCACCTTTGGCTTCAAAAACACTGCCCGAGTTATCATTCCAGTATTTATAGAGTTCATGCACTGGTAGAGACCGACCCGCACTTGGCAACATAGAGGCTGGTGATTTGATTGCTGTCTGGCACAGCAGTACATTATCATTATGTGCGACTTGACGGCTAAGTACAGTGACGGGTTTCGTCGCATAATATATTGAACTAAATTCAACACAAATTGGACGTCTTAAAAAACAAAGCAGGCCGAAGCATTGCTAGTCTGCTTTGCAAGCAATTGAAGCGCGGGCAGCAAAAAAAATAGGGAGGCAAGGCGCGGGAAAATCGCTAGCTATGCAGGCCTAAACATTGGAATAGGCCTTTATGTAAATAAACATGATTATTTATCACATACAAAACCACCGAGACGATCTTTCCTTTGTATTTTTCCGCGCGAATTATTAATGAGTTTTTTAATTTTTTTAAATATATTCCTTCATATACAGTATTATATAATTGGTTTTCACAAATGATTATAATAAAAACATCCATCTACAATTTTAAACCTTAGTTACCATTGTTTTTATTAATATTTTTGTCAACTAGAACAATTGCCATCGTATCTACCTAAATAATCTGTTCCTTCAGCAATTATTTGACCTTTTTGATTGTTTATGGTCACACCACTGGTCCACTGCGAAAACTTTGACGGAATACGTAGACAGATTGAATTACGTGTTCCTGTTTCAGCGCGATAAATCACACGACAATATCAATTGTTGTTGCACTAACTGAAGACTTCCACAGAAGAATTATCTATTTTACTCTGTCATTATGAAGCTTGCAATATTTCTCAGCGCTGTTCTCATATTTTGTATCAGTGAGGTCTTAGGTAAGTTGAAATTACTTGTAAATACTATTATACAAACGCGCACAGTCGAAACTTCGCTATATATCTTTCTTAGCATATAAAAATGTGTTCAGTATATGGCAATTACAGACAACCGCACGAACATTTATACAAAACGCGATTTTGCGCAAAATTAGGTCCTTTTTATTCATTCACAAGCGATCAGTTTTGTGTTATTTACTTTACATATTATTATATACACGGTTTGTACCCAATTTTGAAATGTTGATTCCGACTAAGCTGCTTGACTTTTATAAACACCGTATATCGTATATCTGCTATGATATCTTGTTTGTCGACGGCTTTTATGTTAATTTACTTGGAGTTTTCCCTAAAGACATTGTACATCATAGATAGCTGACTATTTGGCCCAATAAATTAATATCGACATCGCACGAGCATGTATATAATTTAGAAAATCATCTGTAATGTATGAGATTTGTTTCGGAGGAAGTTATTGCTATATTTGTGGAAAATTCTAGGAGGCCTCCCGCTGACGCGCAAAAAGCACCCGGAAAGGATGTAGTTAAAGAATTCTGACGTGTATATAATTATTTTTTCATAAGGGTAGCAATATTAAGCCTAATGATTAAAAGTTTGAAAATGTGGACGTGGATTTAAATATAGACTTACATGGTGAATGATGATTAACTCCTGACAATGGCATAGTTTATGACATTTAAGATGTGTATTTTTACTAAGTATTTTAAATATTTTATGACGTAGAGGTTCTAGTTTCTAAGAGCAGCCAAAGCTAGCGAACGCCGAATTTCTTTCTATTTTTTGTTGTATGGTATGGCAAATATATTGAAATAATCTATTTTGAAAAAGACTATGAAGCAGCTTGCGGACGGCAGGTTTGTGTTTGCAATGTTATAAGAGCGTCTCAGTAACATCTGCATTGAACTATTTCAGAAAATGTCTCAACAGTGATCACATCATCTACTTCCTCCATCATCGACTCCATCATCTACTTCGGGAAAAGTTTGACCCGATATTACGAAAGTCACCGAACTGTGGAATCGCATCAAAAATTCGTATCGTCGCCACTCCCACAAACGTCTACGACCGCACCTACATATTTTTGCATGTTTACATTTCTAATAGTTTAAACAGCCAATCGACGTTTAATTGTAATTGTTACCAAGAACCGGTGTCCCAGGATTTTCGCCCCCCCCTACAATTTCTCCCCCCGGGGGGCGAAATTCCTAGGAATATCGCCCCCCCTGGGGGGCGAAAATCCTAGGAAATTCGCCCCCCTTTAGGAAATTCGCCCCCCCTTAGAAACTTCACCTTTTCTTTAGGATTTTTGTCCTCCGTTCAAAATTTCGCCCTTCCTAACAGTTATATGGGATAATTATTACATGGCTTTAGTCATTTGAAATCAGTATCAATTCAAAATTGTTAAGACAGAGCTTGAAATAA